CAAAAAGAAATCCCGTATAGAAGGTGGTGGTTGCTTTCTAGTTAATGATTCAGGGGGCCATGCTTTCCACTCCCACCACCTTGTAGTTGTGGAAAGCCCTAGGTGTAATCATAGTATAACCATTTTGAATTGTATGCATTATTATATCAAGGAGTTAGATATCTTGCATGAATGCTCTCTTCTGTGTTTAGGTACTCTATGCCACTCTTGCTGTGAAATTGAAGTGCATGTAGAAAAATCTTACTGTATGAAACTTTACAACACTTGTAAAAATGATTCAGGTAGAATTACACACAGTATAGTTTTTCTCCAAGTATCACCAAAAATTCCCCACAGACAAGGCTTTCGTCCTCATTAGACTTCAGCCTCTACCTACTTACTGGGGACAGTTCTCTGTTAAATTGTCACTCTTTTTTATTTTTAATCTATGTTGTGATTTCAGTCTAAAACAGTTTTTGATGAACTTCTATGATTTCTAATGAAACTGATTCCTAATTAACACTTTCATGTTTGGAGAAAGTTCTTAAAACAGTTACAAATTGTTTAGCTACTACAGGTGGTGGTTGATTTATTTTTAAATCAGACTGACTTTTCATGCTCTAATAAAGCTTCTAGGAATTTGCTCAGCTCTTCTGTAGAACTGAGCTAATGCATTGGTCTTTCACCTTTAGTAACTTGGGTATCGGTACTAGTGCAGGCTAAGTTTTGTCTCACCGTAATGGTCATTTGTCTGTCCACATCCCCAAGCTGTCACACCGCTACACGGCGGCAGAATTTGATGAAGGTCCAAGACTTGACAGGGGAAGAGCTGAGCCAGGCTTCAAGGCCCTTGGCATAATTGTGTGACAGCTTTGCAAAGTGCAAGTTCATATTGGCAGCAGGCATTTTCTCTCCTAATCCTTTGCTGTGTCAGAACAGGAAGCTGCTGCTCCTCCTGAGCACAGGCAGGTAGGGCTAGTGGAGGACTGGGATTTGCTCGTCTGGGTGCGCTGATTGGCTTGGATTATTCTCAGTAAAACCTGTGACCTGCCACTTGGGACTGTAAAGAGTGCTTCTAAACTGGTCCAGTGTCACTTCATTTTGTTGTTCCAAGCAAAGCTAATGCCTCTGTCTTGTGACAGTCCTGTGACATTGTTGTGCATGTGACTTATGTTGTACTTGAGTGTTGTGACTTCATCTGTTTTTTCCTCCTAATTGCTAAGGTGGTTCCTCTTACTGTGACTTGAGGGCATTAAGTGAAGGTGTAGAACAAGAGCTGTCTGGGACACCTGGACAGCAGCAAAGTAGAATGCTATTCATGGAGCATGAATTAGAGTGTAATTCAAAGTCACTTTAATGAGTATTGACTAAAATGTAGGCTTTGAAAAGCTGGCACACTTTCAGCTATGTTTGTTTGCAAATACTGGGATTTAACAGCTGTGAGACCAGCATGTTAACAACAAAATTGAGATTATTTTTCCCCTCTTGTCCGTGCAATGTTTTGAGTCTTTCTGGTTTGATACAATGGTTCTTTTGTTCCTTCCGTATTTATGAATGGAGCGCTTTTTCAGTGCTTCTAAACTAAAGTCTGCTTGGTTAGAAATCAAGTGGTTGGAACATTTTGATTTTTTTTTTATTTTAAGCATATTATTGATGTTCTCTACCAATGTTATCAATTACATGCTGTAAATGGCACTAATGCTTTTTGGTGTTAATATTGAGGACCAATATTTCAATGGGGTTTCTTTTTTTTGTTCTTGCATTGTCCCAATTGTTCTGACATTTTTTGGCTTGAGGTCCTTTAAGTAGACTGAAGATCCCTTTTTAAGTAATACTGAAAGAATGCATCTTACAAAAGAAGCATAAGCCTCGTCTATGAAAATGAAAGCTGTTGAATGGGTTATTGAACTATCTGGGTGATCAGGATGGGGGGAGTATGGTGTTTATAATTTCTGTGGTGTTAGACTTTGATCATTTAAAAATATCTGTACCACAACTTAACGCTTCAATAAAAGTTCGCTTAAATTGTTTGTAGTGATGATCCAGCAATTTTATCCTTTGCTCTCTTCATGCTTTTTGGTACCAAATGGCTTAATTCTGAAATAGATTTGTCCTTGCTGTCCTAATTTGCACTGCTCTGGTAGGGGATGCATCTCTACACATTGGCAGTTTAAAATGAGGCAGCGTGTGAAATGAAGCCAAGTGAAAATGTTATGCTGTTCTTGAAACTAAAACAGTTTAATGAACACAGAAATGTGTTGTTTACATTTAACCTATATCTTTTTCTTTGAGCATTAAATATTCTAAATAGCCCTCTGAATTAGAACCAGTTGTCTTAAGTAACAAACTAGCATACATTTGTGTGCATAAGCTTAGACTGGCTTTGAGAATTCAGGGTGAGATTTATCTCTTAAGGTGAAGTAGGCAGGTATACCTAATCTAGATAGTAACCTAAACCAGAAGGTAGTGGCTGGGAATGTCAGTGCTAAGCAGATGCAACCAGCACAATTGAAAATTCCTTGAGTTCATGTGGTAAGCCCTACCGGAAGAGCAGCTGCAGTTTAATCATACCTGCAAAGCTCCAGCAGCGCTGATAAGCCCCAAAGTCACCTAAGTATTGTGTTGGTATTGTACTGGAAGTCTAAAACCTTTCAATTGTTTATTTCTGAATACAGGTTTCATTAGTCACCCAGAACCTTCTCTGTCATGTTACAGATCTCTAATGGTATTGTGGATAGTAAGTAGTGCCTTGTAGTTACTTCAAGTACTTAAGACTTTTTAAAATGCCCAGCAAACGCCATGAAAATAAATTCCAATTTGAAGCATCAAGAGATCCTGTTTTAACAATTTCAGCCATGACAAATTAGCAATAATCTTCCTCTGAAGGATACTGATGGAGCTGATGAAAGAGCTTGTCAAGACACTTGAATTATTTTGCCACTGTCCTGGTTAACTGGAAAGGTCTCAGTTGGCTGGAGGGTAGCAAATGTGATGCCCACCTACAAAAAGGGCCACAAGAAGGATCTGGCAGCCTGACCTTATTGCCAGGGAAAGGTCATGGAGCACATGGTACTAAGCACTGTCACACAGCACATACAGGACTATCAGGCCCAGCCAGCATGTGCTTGTGAAAGACGGGTCCTGACTGGCCAACCTGATCTCCACCTATGGCAAGCTGACCCACTCTGTGGATGAGGGGAAAGGTGGATGGTGTCCATCTGTCATTTGAGTAAATCCTTAGATGTTGTGTCACAACATCCTGAAGAAACTGGGTGCACTGTTTGCTGAGTAAAAAAATGGGCTGGGTCGTCAGACCCAGAGAAAGGGGGTGAGTGGTGCCACATCTAGCGGGTGCCTGGTCACCAGTCGTGTTCCCCAGCACTCAGTGTTGTAGCTGCAAAGCCAGGGGGGCCTGACCCAGTGGCAGGGGGGCTTTAAGGTTCCTTCCAATCCAGCCCATTCTCTGATTCTATATTAGACTCTGTTGGGATGGAGGGGATGGGCAGACTGAAGGTGGCATGATGAGGGCAGGAAAAGAGGATAAGGCAGTTCTGTGCCTGAACACTCTCATGTCCATTTATGGGGCAGAAAGGAAGATGCTGACACCAGTGCTTGTACCAAGCCACTTGAATAGGCATTAAAAACCAGTGGTTTACAGTCCTGGACCTTTACTGTTGATGCCCAAGAGGTGATGCTGCTCTGGTACTTTTATCTGGGTGAGATGACTGAAATGGATCCTGGCTGTCAGTCTGGCTGCTGCTTTGGTGGTGCAGGATAATGTGTTGGCAGAAATGTTGAAGCTTGCCAACTGGGGTGGTGTAAACTCAGGCTTCCCTAGCAATAGTCCCAAAAGAAATGCCACCAATAGCTAAATGCACAAGGCTTGGAGAAAATGGTGAGGATATGCTCCCAAGCTATTTCAAGTAAACTGTTCCATTTTCTTCTATTGCTTGTTATGCACTGTACTTATAATATTGGAGCTGCTGTTACATTTTTAAAAACTAAGCAGGCCCTAGAGAGTCTGCTTCTGCAGCTGCCTGAAAGCCATATCTTTATATAAATTTTACATTCTCTATAACATGCTTAATTCTGCCTTTGGCAACCGCTATTAATTTTAAATATATGTGTACAAATGAAATATGTACAGTCACTTTTAGGAGCAAGACCAGACACATGAATACCATAAGCTCAGCATTTTTCATTCCTGGATTAGCCAGAATGTGAACACACATTTTTGTATCCTGTAGTTCCTATTGCAGGCACTTTACCTAATCCCTAACTCTAAATTATGTTCTTTATAGCCTTCCTGTTATTTTTCCCACATGTTTTTCTAGATTATACAGATCCTCTCAGTTCATCACTCTACGTTTTTCTTAAATACTAAGATTCCAAAATAACATATAAGGCATCTGCCCACTTAAAGACATAGAATCACAGAATTGTTTGGGTTAGAAGGGACCTTGGGGACCTCATCTGATTCCAACCCCCCTTCCATGGGCAGGGACACCTTCCACTAGACTGACTTGCTTAAAGCTCCTTCCAGCCTGGCCTTAGAGTATTGGGGCATCCTCAGCTTCTCTGGAAACTTGTTCCAGTGTCCTGCCACCCTCACAGTAAAGAATTTCTTCCTAACACCTAATCTACACTTTTACTCATTCAGTTTAAAGCCATTCCCTCTTGTCCTGTCACTACATCCTCTTGTAAATAGTCTTTCCCCATCTTTATGGCAGGCTTCATTCAGGTCCTGGAAGGCTGCAATTAGGTCACTGAGAGCCTTCTCTTTTCCAGGTGAAAAATCCAAATTTTCTCAGCCTTGCCTTATAGGAGAGGTGACACATCACTAATGAACTTAGTGCCCCTCCTCTGGACTCGCTCCAACAGTTCCATGTCATTCCTGTGCTGGCCCCCAGAGCTGGATGCAGCCCTGCAGGTGGGGTCTCAGCAGAGCAGAGGGGCAGAATCCCCTCCCTCCCCTGCTGCCCACACTGCTCTGGATGCAGCCGGGCTGGGAGTGCCCATGGCTGGGTGAAGTCCAGCCTCTCGTCCACCAGCAGCCCAAAGGCCTTTTGGGAGGATGCTCTTGATCTGTTCTTTCCCCAGCCTGGATTGATATGAGAGTTGCCATGACACAGGTGCAGCACCTTGTACTTGATCTTGTTAAACCTCATGAGATTTCCATGGGCCAACATCTCTGTCTTGTCCAGGTCCCTCTGGATGGCATCCCATCCTTCAGGTTTGTCAACTCGATCTGTTCTGTGTCATCTGCAGTTTTGCAGAGGGTGCACTCAGTCCCTTCGTCCATGTCATTAAAGAAGATATTAAATAACTCCCAGTATGGACACCTCTACACTAGAAAGGTGTGAAGTTCTGGCTTGTGTTTGCAAGGTAGCCAGAGAAATGGAACTTCTGGCTTTTATTTCCACTAGAAATGGACTTTCGGCTCCAGAAGTCTAGAAGATGAAAATTGTCAAATTTTTGTGTATCAAATTTCATTACCTTACTTTATGGGCAAAAGTAAGTATTTGGTACTTGTTTTATACTATTAAAACTGCTGCACCAACAAAGAGAGACAGGGAAAAGCCAGCATAGGATTGAACAGAGTTGGAAGTTGCAGTTATAGGACTAAGTTTCAGCTTCCTCTCTGTGTGGACAGGAGTTACACAGATGTAACAGAACAAGACAAAATGTTCCAAATCCATTGTTCTTGCTCAGTAACTTGGAACAATTTGGTGCCTCCTCATCATCTGCTTCTTCCAGAAGAGGCACTGGCCTCTGTGCCTGCCAGAGATTATTTATTGAAACACACCATATGACAGCTCCATCAACACATCAGTCACTGTAGCTTTACAGTCATCTCCAGTCCCTAAAATTGGACTTGTTTCTTTCAAAGAGGAACTTGCTAAGTACCTGTCAGCTTCACTAGGTTCATCTTGAACAGCACTGACCTTAAAAGTTAGGAAATATTTAGCCAAATACATGGTCAGATTTCAAATACAAAATTAGAATCCAAGCTATAAAAAGGTAGATAAACTAGACTGTACTTAACTAAAAGATTATTTCTTAGCTGCTGTGGTATTTTGCAGCCAGAACCCCATACAGCCTATGCACATGTATTCCATGCTACTTCAGGGTGAAACTCAACACTAACCAGAGGGCCTAAGCCCTTGAGGGCTGTTCTCTAGTGGTAACCCACTCCAAACTCTCTTCTTTTTGTTAAAGATGCTTCTCTCTTGTTTTTATTTCATAGTGCTGATTTAAATCCAAGATAATGCTGTTGCGTTATCCGAGAGGAGAGAGAATGTGTATTCATTCAATTATTTAAAGCATCCTCAATACTGTTACAATATCCAGCAAGGTATGTATCATCGGGTCTACTCCTGTGTTCACTTGATTAGGCTTGGAGACTTGGGCTTTTTCTGGGCTGTATCTTTCCTAAAGCCACATTATCAGCTACATTATAGGTAGGATGCTTTATCCAAACCATCTCTCTCGCAGCCCAAATTTGGCAGTTTTACAGATGTGTTTTTCAGATAGTGCAGAAGTAATTTTTTCATCTTATTTGATAATCTAATATTGAATTGTTTCTAATTCTCAAGTCTTAAAATCTTATTTAGAATGAAAATCTGATATAAAACCAAAAGTGTTGATGAAGTTGCTAATTTAAGTAAAGGCCTGATTTATTTATTCCCCTAAACTTTTGTGAAATATGGGGGGGGTTAGAGAAAGAGGATGGAAAAATAAGAAAATTACTCATTCCCCTTATAGAATGAGTATAAAATAAATATATTAATGATTATATTAATGATTATAAAAGAAATACAGAAATATTACATTATGTAAATATAATGAATATAAAAGAAATATATGAAAGGTATATTTTCCCCTAGTGTGCTAGGGAAATGAAAGCTGGCATATATAACAACAAGAAAAAGCTGCAAAGGCTTCAGGGTGTAATTTCTGAGGCTACAGTACCTGCAGCAGAAAGATACTGAGCATGAAGCTGATGGGGCTAGTAAAAGCAGTAAAGCAAACAGACAAACAGCCAGTGCTGTAATTGTCTGTGCTCTTGATTAATTAATTAATTAATCTTGATTAATATTGGTTTAAATGTTAATATTTCATTGGTTCAGCTGTGCTTGCACTGTTTTTAGATAACCAACTGCAAATTCATATGTTTTAATATTCTAGTTCTAAGCATGGTAAAAAGTTTATTTGTAGTTGTACTCTGTTGTTAAGTGCCATGACATGAAAAAGCTGAGCAGTTTACATGTAACAGTGCCTTTCAGTTCTTCCATTTAGTGTTCTGCTACATAACAGAAAGATACATTTTCTGATTACCTGCTCTCTTAACATTGTAATCTTTTAAACACTTCGTTCCTGAAATATTTAAACTATGCAGACCACCCAGAAGGCCTCAGCAGACAAGAAGTTTCGAACCAGTGCATTTCTTTTCAACTGCTCAAGTTACTATGTCAAGCAGTTGGTAAGAAATGAATCAGCTACTCCAAAAAGCTATCCGGTTTGATCTTTCACAAAGCGAGTAGTCCAGAGACACACAGAAATCACATTTAAACTAGCTTTAATAAAACTATCTTAACTCCTTTTTAAAGAATCATAATCCTAGGTATTCTTACTGAATTTAGGTAACTGCCATTTCATTGTGCTCAATTTCTTGTAGTAGTCAAGGCAAATTAATAGACAAAAAAATAGATAGTTACAGAAACAGATGTTCAGTCCATACTGAATATCTCAAAATATTCAGGTTTTTTCAGCTGATATGATAGTGACTCAAGAAATTTTTACAATCTCTGTATTCCATGTGTAATACACATTTTAGATACAAAGTAAATACACACTGGTATATACTTATGTATATTGATATGGAAAGGTGTAAATGACACCAAAAAAATAAGCAGTTCTAGACTACCACTTTTGTAGCAGTTCCCCAAGTTTTACTATTTTGGAATCCTTTAATTTCAAGATTGTTTAGGACTCTGTAGGCACTTTGAATTATTTTGATTGCTCTATCTGCAAATCTAACCAATTGCACTCTAGCAGTGGAGCCTGAGCTCTGAGACAGCTTTGATGGGAAGTTTCTGTTCCAGGAACCATACATCACATACAATTTCTTAGTGGACCTCTATCCATCTGCAGAAAGATATATTTTAATGGATTCTGGGGTGAAATGGTAAGATTTAAAGTCAGGCCCTCAGGGACTCTATTGGAATCAGAGGAATGGTTGCTTGTATGCTGAGGAGAATAGGAATGTCACATGCAGGATGTTCTGTTGCCATACAAAAAAAAAAGTGCAGGATTTTACTGTACTGATAAGTAGACTGGAATACCCTTAAATCTGCTGGAATCTGAAACCACGCAGGAAGACAGACAACTGTCTCTTCAAGGACCAAGTGGGAAGGAGACATGACCTATAGATCTTCATCTTGAGATGCATGCAGGAATGGAAGTGCATGGAAGTCTTTTCAGTTACACAGGCTGGAAATAATGGCATTTACTTCATTTCATAGAGGCGCCAGTGGCAAATAGAATGTTAGAAAAGGTGGTAACATGGAGAGGCTGAGTGCAAGGATCCTTCATTGGTAGTTACCCTAAATCCACAATATTATGGGTATTCTTTTGATGAGACAACCTTAAGGCTACATATGAATAAATATATATATATTCTAAATCAGGTCAAGAGATTTGAACAACTCACGCTCTTCTGAGTAAAGACACCAGTGTAAAGATTGAATAGTGTAGAAGTTGAATATTTTTTGAAGTTTTTGTTGTCTATAGCAGTGAAAATACTCATCATAGTATCTCTTGTTTCAGTGCTGGATTAGGATTAGTTTTATAGTTCCTAAAATTCTTGAGCACACTTCCTAAAAAAAAAAAAAAAAGATGTAATTTGGGAATTCCAGAGAAGCAGCAAAGCCAAATAAATGAAAAAGCCAAGTAAATGAATCATTATAATTTACTGTTGGTCATTTTGTGTATCTGCTAATATGGGGGAAAGAGCTGATTGGAATAGCATAGAAGAAGGAAAGAGAGGAAATTATTTGTTGTGCCTAGTCAAAATTCAGGGCTGTTGCCTGTTAATTCTGAGCTGATTAGACAAACTGAAGGAAAAGAGAGAGATTTTGGCAGTGACCACTGCTCCTGTCAGCAATGCCAGATCTGGCCATTCTGTAGCTCTTGCCAAGCACACAATCCCTTGCCCAGACTGGTCCAAAGCTGGTCCTTCCAGCAGTATCTTTCCATCTGGATTGCTCCCAAAATGAAGATGACAGAAGGGTATTTGTAATGCTTTGCCTTGCCTTTTCTGTTTTCCAGAGCAGTACTGCCTGGATAAGCTGGAAGGAATTGAAATGGTGCCAGTTACACATCATTATGTGTTCTAACACAGTGAATGTAAGGGAGAGCAAGTCTAAGGTGTTACTCTCTACCTCCTACAAGGGGAAAAACTCTCCTGGTTCCAAGGGACTGGGCATGCTTTCATGCACATTGGAAGTGTACAGTGTTATATAACTATTACTTAAAGACAAAAAGTTTTGGGTTTTACCATAATACCTTCTGGAAAATTGTCCTCTTTAAAAATAAAGTATTTTTGTATCTTAAAATTGGTACCTGGTAGTTTTTTGTAAGAACATGTGTATCTAAATGGCAGCATAAACTTCTGTTAGTCTTCTTTGCAGGGAGATTCTGAGCCCTTGATAGATGTTAATGATTGACCTTATGGCTAAGATGTTCAAATCTGCCATTTGGATGTCATGTTCAATCCTTTAAGGAGGATAAAGCAAAAACATTGGATTAAAATACAGATATGACAATATAAACTTATGGGCATCTTCTCTCATCTCCTAGTTGGTACTCAATTACAGTATGAGGACCCTGGCAGATTAAGCAATACTTAATAGCAATCTTTTAGAAAAACTCATGTAGCACATGTTCAGATGAATGTACTTTAGCATCAATCACATCCGTTTTAATCAGTATAAGCTACTCAGAATGCAAGAATTGCAATAAAAAGTTATGAAATTAGTTACAAAAAAAGGTGTTAAAAGGTGATGTACTGGGGACCTAGTACAAATACAACACCTACTTGTAAGAGCAGAAATAGGAACAGAAAGTCCTGAATTAATTATGTGTAGAGGGTATTTATGTGTTGCTACTGACTGTAAAAGATGATCCTTAGTGTAAACAACTTGCCTTCAGAATCTCCAAGACAGCAAATAAAGAGCTAAAAAACTCAATGCCATCAGAATTCAATATTTTCCATTTTCATTACAGACTTGTATAAAGTGCCTCAAGTCTATCCACCATTTGAAAATACATGTGAGAAAGTATAAATTATTCTCCTGTAAGAGCAGATTTCTATGGGGAAAAAAAAATAAAATATCACATCAGCAGTAAGTGCTGCTGAGGCATTTTCAGATAGTTAATAACTCCCTCCAGGAGTTATAGTCCAGCCTAGGTCCAATTTGGAATTTGAGATGACAATTGTCTCTCCCTCTTGATTGGCTGCTGGGAAAAAAACAGCTATGCTTCACTGCAAATGTAAGTAATAAAGGATAATAAGGTCTTCAAGCCTTAAAGGCAATTGATCTTTGGTTTTAAAAAAATTTGCCTACCTGCTTTTCTAGGGGAAAAAACCCCCAACATATTAAAATTATTATTTTTAAAATAGAATCTCTCCTGATATGGAAGTCAAAAGCATACATTCAGACATACTGAAAATATCATGAGCTTAGCACAAGCTAAATGAGACAATTGTCAGCAGTGAGTTTATTTTCTTACATAGAAGTGAAAATTTCATTCACAGCAGCTATAAAAGTATAGATAAACTCTTTCACACATCATCTCCTGACCTGCATTTCTGACTAACTCACAGAGACAGTCATTTCTTTGCTCTATTCATGCTTTGAGCCAGCTGGACATAAGACCAGCTTCTTTCCAGAAATCATGTGGCCACATTAGCACAGTTCTGAGCCTAAGCTAATGTATCCTGCTTTGCAGCCAGCCTTGGTAACTCAGGTTCAGCAGCACACAAATCACAGCTACAGCTGCTACACTGGTTGGCTGAGGGCACAGGCAGAGTGAACCTCTCGCTGTCTGCACCCATCCATGTGGATGTACCCTCAGATGACCCTAGCACTGATTACAGCACTGTGTGCTGTGACAAAAGCTAGCTTTAGGAATTGGTTCTCCAATTAATTGCATTTTAATTGCATAATACAAACGATGCTGGAAATGGAGTAATGACATCTTACGGAATATGGTAATGTGAGTTGTTGTCATCACCGCAGCAGTATGGTGCCTATGAACTAACTTAAAAAAACCAAACAAACAGATTCATACAAACATAAAACATTTTAAGAGATCCAATTGTCATAGGAAAGATTATCATGTTGCATTTCTGTCCTTGTTTTCCAAACACATTATCAAACAACAATGTGAGTCAGTGTCCTAGTTTAGGACAAACTCCAAATGGGGATTTCCCCAGGGAAATACCCCCTCCCCACCAACTGGTCCAGAAAAGGAAAAAAAAAAAATTCTTGGAGAGAAGTGGAAAAAGCTGTTTATTTAACAGAAATTGAATAATATTAAAATAATAAAACCTCTCACTGTTCGATGGGATGACAAGTCTAGGAAGAAAAGTCTTTTTTCATGTGGTGCAGCTCGGCTCGCTCAGGTTCTTATCAGTCCCTCCGGCGCTGGAAAGTGCCGAGGCCCAGGCCCCAGTGGGCCACAGGTGTGAGCTCCCGGGGTTTGGCTGGGTGTTCAGTCCAGAGCAGGTTTGCACAGATTCAAGAAAAGGAAAAAAAAGGTCCAGGGAACTCCTCTACCTCAGCTAGCTAAAAACTAACTAAAAGCCAGAGAGAAGCTCTGTCCCGCTGTCTGTCCGTGCTGCAGACACCACAGTCCAGGAGCGGGATGTGTGGGAGTGATGGTTTTCTTTAGCACAAACTGCGTGCTTCTTCTTCCCCCTCTCTTGCTCTCAGAGCCAGTCTTAAAGGTGCAGAACTTAATATATAACATAAACCAGACGATTGGGGATATCAGTATCATAAAGTCACCCCAGGACAGTCAGGAAGGAAGGACTGCTGAAAGAATGTGGTCAACTGTGACAGTGTCCTTCTTTCCACTTTTTGCTTGGTGTTTCTGAATGGTATTCCTTAGTCAGTGTAAATGGTAAGTGTGCTTTGGTATAGATTCAGGTCCTTCTTCACCATTCATTACTCTTGCTTCTTCTTGAAAACAGAGACAAGACTTGCAGTCAGTAGGTCAGTGCACCAGCTTTGCACACAACTCCTCAAAATTACATTTCCAGTAGCTTTAAAGTCTTAAAAGTCACTCACAATACTTTTCACAGTCTTCCTACATAGAATTCCTAAAGAGCCCAAAAACAGCTGTTTCCAAGTACTGATCCCTTCATGAGTAAAAGCAGTAATTGTAGGCATACCAAATGTCACAATATGTTAAGTGACAATGGGAACTTCACGGGGATTTCCACCTTTTGGTTTTTTATCTGCTGTCATTTATCTACTGTGTTATATTCCTCTGCTTCTCTGTACAAAAGACAGTGAAGTTAATATCTGGAATTAAAAACAAAGCTGCTAAACACAATTTATTGCTCATAAAAGGTTTCACCTTTGGGTCTAGCTTGCTCACTACACTGTCTGCAGCAGTGGCCACCAAGTGAAGAACACAAGTTCTGGTGTACTCCCAGCTGTCAGCTCAGTTATGTCCTTGGCCTGATAGGATTTGCCCATGCTATTATTCCCAGTGGATCCCTCCTTCAAGTACTCATCCAATCTTCCATTGAGTTCAGCCTTTATAAATTTTGGAAAGGAACGTAACAGGTTTACCAGCTTTTTGGTTTGTCCTTCTGAAACAGATTTGAGACCCTATAACAGCCATACAGTGAGACAGATCAAAGATCCACCTAGCCAATACCCTTGTGGCCTAAATCAGACCATAGTGAATGGCTGGAAAAAGCAGCAGAACAGGCAGGACTAGCATGCAAAGGTATTTCCTCATTCTTCAGCAATCTTTATCTCAGGAGTTGCTGAGACAGAGAATGGTTGCAATTCCCCTGCCCTTTTTACTATCTAGTCATGTGTTACAGCTCACAGTAGGCTTTCATTTTTAGAATCCCAAAAATACTGTACCATCATCTAACTTCCATGCCTCACTTTCTACCTTGGATTTTTTAAGGGTTTTTTCTCAACAAATAATTTAGAAGTATGTTTCATACTTCAAATTTCCATGAAAGTACATTAATAGTCATCCTTCACTTTGAGAAGAGACTGTTTTCTCCTAACCTGTACCAACAACTTATTCCGTGGCAGTTTAGTTTCTTTTAAGAACCACTCTCCACTGTAGTCTGCTATGGAAACAGATGGGTTTTTTTCTTTGTAAAAGTGCATCAACTGCAAGTATAACAAGATTACTATTTCAGAATGGCTCTTCCATAAAAGCAAGTTGAAGCAGACCATACATGATGGTGATCAAAAATCAAGTCCAGGCCAAGAAGTCTAAACTTTATGGCACCAAATATTTTAGTCTCATGACTCTGATCCATATGGCATTTACCTACACTCAATCTTTTCTCTTTTGTTTTCTATTTTTACAGTGCCTGGTTTTCCTTATCAGCAAGTGTTTGCAATCTATATACTACAGTCTTAACAAGATATATTTCCTATTTGGAATTGATTTTTACTCTGATTTGTCTCAAAATCCTTTGGTAGTGCAAAGGTCTTTTTTCATCCTCTCTACATGATTTATACCTGGTGTTTATTCTCCTTCCCTCCAGTGTCTCATGCACATTATCACACTATCCCAACTTAAACTAGCTGTTCTTAGTCTCCCTTTCTGGATTTGGGGATTTTGATATTTATGAAGCAATACATTTTTAGTAATTAAAGAGATACACACAGATAACTGAGTCAGTGCATCCTTCTGTTGGTTGTACAGCTGGACTTATTTATTGGACTACTCCACTCTATCCTGCCTCACCTTTGGCACTTCTTCTGAGGCACAGAATGCATTCATGATTGCACCCACACAATATGAGCTAACACTGAAAAAGCAGCATTCTTACATCTTGTAGTAATATCACAGTAAGAAAAAAACCCCCACATATAGTATTGACCTCAAGCTTCAACAATATGATTCTTACTTTTTATACTGTGTCAGAAACATTTTCTGCAGGTTCAGTGGACATAAATACACAAGCAGTAAACTACGAGGAATTCCAAATTGCTGCCGAGTTACACCTCAATAAAAGCCTACTGAATAAAGACTCTGATGCTTCTGATGCAGATTGATAATAACTGATTTTTATTTCCTGCACTGCAAACCACTCTGGCAGTTCTTGAGGTGTGTAAAAGTTGCTTTTAACAGCACTTCACTAACAAACAAAAGGTGTAATGTAGATAGAAACCAAAATACAATTCAACAAAAATATTTCACTTTGGTAAAAAGTAAGCCACAGGAACATTTGATCAAAATCAGTGAATAAATATGAAAGAGGAAATAACTTTCTGATTTTACATAACTGTATGCACAAAAATTCCAAGGATCATTTATATTAGTTTTTTTAAAATACATTTTAAACAAATAATCTCCTATGAGCAAAGGCTGAGAGATTTGGGGTTGTTCAGGTTGGAAAAGAGAAGGTTCCAGAGATACCATTGAACAGCATTCCAGTACATGAAGGGGACATGAAGGAGCAAGAGAGCTGAAGAGGGACTTTTTTAAGGGCATGAAGTGATTAGATTAGGAAGAAATTCTTCAGTGTGAAGGTGGTTAGGCAGTAGAGCAGGTTGCCCAGAAAAGCTGCGGATGGGAGTCCCTGGGACTGTTCAAGGCCAGGCTGGACGGAGCCCTGAGCAAGTCAGTCTAGTGCAAGGTGTCCCAACCCATGGCAAGGGTTTTGGAATCAGGTAATCTTTAAGGTCCCATCCAACCCAAGCCATTCTCTGATTCGATGAAATACAGACAGGCCAGCTGGGATTATAAAAGAGTTTGGCCCTGAATAATAACTATTCCTAGTGAATTTTGAAGTCAAGGGCTTTCAGCTGCTTTCAACCCAACAGGAGTAAGAATTTTCATCCTGGTATCTCAAATAACTGATGCCAGTTTATCTGAGGTCCTGTAAAAGATGCCAAACTTTGACATTTCATAAATTAGCAAGTCAGCTCAATAGATAGACATCCCCTTCTGACCCAGTTGGATAATAAGTCATTTC